GAGAAGGAAAGAAGAAGGAAAAGAGAGGAAGGAAGGAAGAGAACGGAAAGAGAGAAAGAAGAGGAGGGGGAAAAGGGCAAAGAGATGGGGGGGAGGCTCTCCCACCCCCACTCCCCCAATCAAGCCTCCACCACCCCCACGGATCCGTCACTTACCCTGGGAGGCAGCGGGGGCCCTCTTCTGCCCTCCCACAGGCCGCAGCGCTCTGGCGCTGGCCCGGGGAGGCGGCATGGGGCCACAGCGCGGGGAGCTGGATGCAGGGCTTGCTGCCACCGCCATTTGTTCCAGTGCCTGGGCTCCTGGAGCAGCGCTCCGGTGCGCTCCGGCCCCAAAAGACCCCTGGGCAAGGCAATTTCTGACTCTGCTTTGTCTTTCAGAATAGCTTCACCATCCTGTGACATGAGGTTCCCTGAGATAAGTCATGCAGTGAGCACATCTACCAGTGGTAGTCACAACATATCCATAAGCTGAGCTAGAGCATAGAATTTTTTGGCACTTAAGAGGTTTTGTCTTTTTGAAAGGAGGAAGACTACTCTGCCTTCACTTTTCAAAGAAGTCTGGAATAGGGACTATGTTTTCTGTTTCTAGCAGCCTTGGGAAAAATTATTTGTTGCCTTTGGGCAGCATTTCACCAAACTCTGAGGGGTGCTCAGATAGCCTTGGGGGGCTAAAACAGCTCTGGTTAGCAGAGATTGGTAGTTGTCTGGGTTGAAGAGGCAAATGGGAGGCTCTCGTTCAATAATTTCCTCTTCTGAAAATTCCTCATTGTCTTTTTTCTGATAGGGCTTCAGACACCTCAGATAGACTCTGTGAATCCATTCCCTGCTGAAAGCATCAATCACTTTGGCTAGAAGTAACTATTGTTTTTTTAGGCTGCCTTAGTTGGCTAGTATACATACACACACATATATTGACTGGCCTCTAGGACTGAGTTCCCATCAAAATTTCCCACTTGAAGCTCTGTGGAGGCCTGGGTAGAAGATAAAGCTGATGAGCTAAATCTTAGCCTCTTGCACCCTCTAGTGAGCGTCTCAAGTTTGCTGTTTTGCAGCCACATAAATTCTTCAGCTGTCACTTGTCACAGCCACCTGGCTATTTCAAGGAGAAATTGAGACAGCTATAGAGGGGCCCCCATGGTAGTCTGTGGTGGACCCCGTGTGCCTACGATGCTTCTGGGTGTACAGCTGTGGTGGTTTGGGGGTGGAGAGTCACAGTCACAGGACCCTAAAGAGTAGAGAGCATTTTCCTCAAAATGTTTCTCTTCCTCCTCTTCCCTAGCGCTGTGCCAGCAGATGGCCTCTGCACTTTCAGCTCAGTTTTCCCAGGCCATGTTCCCGACCCGGGGCTCCAAGGGCCTATCTTGTCGGCTCAGTCTTGGAGCTGCCTTAGGGAGGAGTCTCATTGGGTCTCCTTCCTCAGCAGGGGAAAGCGTAATCTGAGGCACCTTGCTTTCTGGCCATCGCCTCAGCCAGAGTGCAGGAGGCAATGAGAGGGTTTTTTACTGGTTTGAGAGGAGAATGGAAGGATTAGCAGAACAAGAGGCAGAGAAGAAGGAAAAGGTACAGGAAGCAAAAAGAAGTAAAATAGGGAGGTCTAGTGCAGAGAGCTCCTGAACAAGCCTGCACCACAATTCTAGACAGGAAACAAACTGAAAAGTGGGTGACTCCCACCAGTGGAAACAGGAAATTATTACCCAAGTCCTGCCTTCTTGACTAATTGGTGGGAATCACCAATTTTAGTGAGAATGCCAAAGCACTGTTCCTTGGAATTATCCATATTCCAGTTTTATGTTAGTTTGCTTGGGAAGTAAGCAAGCTACCTACACTTCATTATCCTGTAAAGTAAGGAACTGTTGAGGGGCAGCAATGCTCTTAGTAATGTAAAATCCAAGTGTCAAATGCCTCCCCTCTCCATTGACCTCAGACAACATTCCAGATTAGCATTTCCACAGGTGCAACAATTTCAGCTTGCAGAGCACAGTTTTCCCACTTCCTTTGTCTTGTGGCAGCCTGAAATGTCTCCAGAAACCATGTTCCTGGTGGTTCCCAGAAACAGGGCATTTTGGGGCCACTGCTGGGGTGTGTGTGGAATCACACTCTGTGGAAGGAAGTCCTTGCACCCTCTGTTTCAAGCATCCTCAGGCTTGAACCTGGGGTGGTCTTTCCCGAGAGAGACAGACACCCCAAAATGACCTCTGAACCTCCACAAGTAGTGCCCTATGAAGCCAGGCTTGGCTTAAACAGTGGCTTTTTCTGGGAGGCTAGAAGAACCACATCTTGGCTGGGAAAACTGAGGCCAAGTGAAGATTCTCCAGGCTGGCTGCACTGCCAAGCACCCTCCATGCAAGCAAACCCCCCCCCCCACTTCTCTCCTGTCAGCTCAGTCCAAAAGGACTAGAGTGGCTCTTGCCTCAGGCATCTTCTACTGACCAAATGGCTGGTCTTTTGTCTGTCAAATGTACAGGCAGGGAGGGACAAAGAGCCTCTGATCTGTACTACAGTCATGAATGAAGTATGTTGCATGTTTCCATCCCCCTCTCCTGTTTCACCTATATGTCAGGGAATATCTTTGAAATTCCTCTCATTCCTTTCTCCATATATTTGTCTAAGATACCTGCATTCTTAAACCTATGCCAGACCTATCAAGGTAAACATTAACTTTCCATGTCTAGTGAATGGTCACCCTTTCAGGTACATCCTGTCACACATTAAGAAACATCACTTCTTTTGTCTGGCACCAGGGAAACGCCAGACCACTCTATTGTTCCACAATGGACAATCCCAACCCAACCATCTATCACCTGGCTTAATCTCATTATATCCAGACTCTGCCTCTCTGGAAGCTCATTGGTCACATCAAGCCATACCCTTCCTGACAACCACACCTCATGGGACACCTGACTGGCCAAGGTAATCTATTGTCTTCACCTGAGACCAGCCTCCAAGGCCTTCTATTGGTCGGCATTGTTTACCAATGCTTATATCCGTCAGGCACACGGCCTCAGACGGTGTGTCGCTGTCCTGATGCCAACTGGCAGTCCACCCCTAAACCTCTGGGTTTAGGCTATAATCCCTTCTTCATGGACCTCTGCACATCTGGACAGGTAGTATCACCCCATAACTGACCCCTCTATTAGCTATCAACCACCTCTGCTTTCTTAGTTCTGTATTGTGTGTGTGTGTGTGAATGTTTGAATATTGCTTGTATGCTTGATAATATTTAGTAAAGAAATCATTATTTTAGCTACCCAGTCTCTGTGTCTATTCTTGGGTTCTTGGGAATTATAACTCCAGTATACACAAGTCTGATCCTATAGTTATGCCAATCGCTCATTAATCTATGCTAGACCCTTTCCAGTCCGGCTTTTGTCCGGGCCATGGGACGGAGATGGCACCGGTCACCCTCACAGATTACCTCCGGAGGCATCTGGATCGGGGCGGCACGGCGGCACTGCTGCTGTTGGACCTGTCAGTGGCATTCGACACAGTTGACCATCAGTTGCTGATCCACCACCTCGCCGACACTGGGATTCAGGGACTTGCCTTGCAATGGCTTGTCTCCTTTCTCCAAGTCCGGGGACAGAGGGTGGCGCTAGGGGATCAGACATCCCAGAGGCACCCGCTGACTTGCAGGGTTCCTCAAGTTGCGGTACTGTCCCTGATGTTAACATCTACATGCGCCCCCTTGCCCAGATTGCCTGGAGGCACAGGCTAAGGTGTCACCAATACGCAGACGACAGCCAGCTATATCTGTTGTTGGGCTGTCAGTCCAAATCTACCCCAGATGAACTGGATTGGATGCTTCAGGACGTGGTGGGCTGGCTTAGACTGAGCCAACTGAAATTGAATCCGACGAGGATGGTGGACCTGTGCCTGAGTCGGAGCGGGTCGGGGGTAGGGATCTCACTACCAACCTTCGATGGGGCGCCGCTAGTGCCAGCGCCGAGGGTCAGGAACTTGGGAGTGCTCCTGAATGGCACCTTAACAATGGAGGCCCAGGTAGCATCCACTGCCAGGTCAGCCTTTTACCACCTACGGCTGATTAGGCAGTTGGTTCCCTTCCTTGAACGCGATGACCTGGCAATGGTGATCCATGCTATGGTCACCTTGAGAATGGACTACTGCAGTGCTCTCTACATGGGGCTACCCTTGTCCCAAATCTGGAAGCTGCAGCTAGTCAAATGCAGCAGCCAGGCTGTTGATGGAACTCTCTACATGAGAGCACATCTGGCCTGTGCTGACGGCATTGCACTGGCTGCCAATAGCATACCGGATTCACTTCAAGATGCTGGTTTTGACCTTTAAAGCCCTATATGGTCATGGACCTGCCTACCTGAGGGACC